GCCGAGTGCTGACCCTCGATCTGCGTCCCTACCCAGACACGGAAGGCGGACAGGATGGCAGAGGACACCGAGAGCCCCAGCCCCGGTAGCACGAGGATGCTGTGAGCAGCCCAGGTGTGGGAGCCATCTGTCACCTGTCCTCCTGTAGTTCCAGAGCCAGCAGGCCCTGCTGCCTGCCGGGTGAGCCACTGCCCCTAAGGACCAGTCCAGCCCCACTCCAGGGTCAACTTTCCTACAACAGTTAGCATTGGTTTTTCTTGAGGTGCACTGTGTATTACAGCCCTAACTTCACTTCTGAAATGTTTGTCATAAAAATGCTCAGCTGAGCTTCACCTTCACTGCGGTCTCGCCCTGTGCCTTGAGCTTGTGCCTGTGGGAAACACTGGCTGTGGTCCACAGTGGGGGCCAAAGCTGGGTCTGGAGTGTGCTGAGCGCACCCCTGCCGGGAACACAGGGTTTTCAGATACGCCAGTTAATAGGTATAATTTGAGACCAGCTTTTGTGAAAAATCATCTCAGAGGGCCTGTATGTTAATTTTGAAAATATAAATAAAAATACTCTAATTTCAGATGTCTTTAGTGTAGTTTTAGAAGGCAAAAAAATCTGTGATGAAACTGAATGATGTGTCTCAATGTCTATATGTTTCTGAGTAGTTTCTGTTAAGGAGGTGTCGAAGGCTTTCACTGACTTCAGGGAAACACAGGGCTGCACGTGGGAGCAAAAGTCCCGCCCTTCATCCCATCTCCTGTTGGGACCAGTGAACCTGGGGCTCCTCTCGGCCTGCTTTGGGCTGGTGCCGACCCCGCAGCCTCCGGAAGTGCAGTCGCCGGTCTTCAACACGGGAAGCACTGTCTGGAAGCAGATGGAGGTACAGGAGAGGCTCCAGCTCCAGCCCCAGCCCAAGGAGCCTCTCCTCTTGGCGCTGGTGTAGGTCGACAGCTGCTGCTTCGTCCGCCACAAAAGCCACGGCAGAGGCTGAGTCATCCCTATTCGTGCTGCATGAACTCAGCGCAGCTCCTCCAGCTCAGGCCGTCCACTCACCGTGCCTACCATCAGCAATCGTTCTGCGTACACTCAAAACAGGCCACACTATGCTGTGCAAAAGCAGTCGAAACTGCAGGGCTATGAAAGTACAGGCCTGAGTACCATGACCAAGGAAGTGGGCATGGCCTGTAAGCCCCCTGGGAGGCTGAGGCGGGAAGATTACAAATTCAAGCAACATAGGGAGACCCTGTCTCAAAAGGAGCTGGGGATATAATTCAGTGTGAAGACCCAGAGTTCAATCTCTAGTATGGCAAAATTCAAAACCTGGGACCAGAAATTTAGCTCCGTTGTTCCGCTGCCTGCCTCACAAGCACAAGGTCTTCAGTTTGATCCCCGGTACCAAAAAAAAAAAAAAAAAAAAAACCCCGAAAAAAAAAAAAAACCCCGAAAAAAAAAAAAAACCCCGAAAAAAAAAAAAAACCCCGAAAAAAAAAAAAAACCCCGAAAAAAAAAAAAAACCCCGAAAAAAAAAAAAAACCCCGAAAAAAAAAAAAAACCCCGATAAAAAAAACAAACTGGTTTTAGAAACACCACTATTAAGAAATACACAAATACAACTATGAATACAGTGCTTTATCTTGAAAGCCCAGCCATATCTGTGGACATACCGGGGTGTGAGGCTCAGAAAGTGTGGGAAACGGAGCTGGTGAGCTTTGTGGGATCTGACACACACCTAGGACAGGGACCAGCCAGCTTGTCAGAGGGCTGGGCTAAACATTCTGGCTCTGATGAGGCTTCAAGGAGCTTTGGTAAAATGTGCTAACTCCTCTGGCTCTTGGGAGTAAGTAAACAGTCAGTCACCTGGCCCTGATGAAAGTACATGCAACTCCGTGGAACTCAGGTGTTTGTCTTCCTTACTGTGCTGGGGTCTGAACCCATGGCCTCATGCTAACAAGGCAAAGGTGCAGTCACAGCTGTCCCCAGCCAGGTTGGGTCAGATCCATCAATCGTGTTAGAATAAGCCTGCACTTCAGAACACGCTGACAGCAGAACTAACTCAAGATCTGTTCCTTCCCTGCAGCAGCCCAGGCCCCTCGCTCGGAGCTCTCTGCTGGGTGCTGCCGACCTCTCCAAGCCTTACTTCCCCTGCACAGCGCCTTCTGCGCTCTTGTGTGCACCCACTTTCCACTTCAGGTCTCTATCCCTGATCGCAGTTTGAAATGTGTCTTTAAAAATAAGTGCTGGACCCGGGATGTAGCTCAGTGGTTCTGCCGCCTGCCTCACAAGAGCAAGGACCTGAGTTCGATCCCCGGTACCAAAAAAACTGCTCACCTTTTTAAAAATTTAAATATTCCCCCCCATTTTTTTTTCCTTTTTATTGAGGTTATTGGTGCAATCTAGGTATACAAATACAGTTACATTCATCATTGGGATTCTGTACCTTTACATAAGAGGTCTTGATTCTCATTTTTCCCCTTGTCACTGTCCTCCCTTCACCCCCTCCTCCCCTCCCCATTTACAAACGCTTTATTTCCATTTTTTCAGTTTCTCATATTTTTTTCCTCTCCCTTATTACCTTTCCCCCACCCTTCCCACTTTCCTTACACCTTTAGCCCGTTACTTCCTATTTCACATTAATTGTCTCATTAGGATCCTGTGTACTATTATAGTTTTGCACACCAAAGAAACTATTCGGTATTTCAGTTAAAGAGATCTCTGTATGAACATTAAAAATAGGGAATCCTAAAATAAAACTAAAAAGGAAAGTAAAAGAGAAAAGGCAATGATGTAACATCAAAATAATCCTTAATTCTGGAGATGAAAATGGTCCCTGAACATATTTAAATTGCTTCTCGCTCTTATAGTCTTATCTTATTCTTTTTATTATTTAGAGAATACTTTATTAGTTTCTCTAATCAAACCCTCATAGATATGACCTTACATATTTAGTATGATGTGTTACCCCTGTACACATGAAAAAAAATAAATAAATAAAATAAATTAACATTTCTAGACCAATATGGTTGTCCATTTCCGTACAATGCCAAGTTAACACAGTAAATTGGGATGACATTTTCCAAAGTTGGCAGCACCGTTAAAGTTTCCCAAAATTCAATTTATATATATATGTATATATGTGTATATATATATTTATTTATTTATATAAAAAGACTAATAATAGTATGTTATGCATCGATAGCAGCAACAGCTTTTCCAGGTTCTGCAGTCATCTGAACAAAATTATAGACATTCAGCACATTCTATTTAAAAAAAAAAACAAAAAAAAAACAAAGAAGAGAATAATATCCAGAAAACAGCAAAGTTCTGTTGCTGCTGTGGTACCTGGCACCATTTTTTCTATTAGCCTCTTAATCATCCTCTGGAAAGAGAACATTCTAGAGTAATATCATTAAATGTAGCTCTGATAAAGCATGGTCCCTACTATGTATCATAAAGCAGGTACTAGATATTTTACATTCATAGAGGTATGATACAGTACCGTCCTACATCAATAATACTAGATTCAGTTTTGGCTTGAAATTTACTTTGTCTGCCAATAAGATTGCTACCCCTGCTTTTTTCTGGGCTCCTGTTGAATGGAGAATTGTTTTCTATCTTTTCACTTTCAGTCTATGCGCTTCTTTTTGCACTAGGTGTGTTTCTTGTATACAACATATTGTTGGATATTGCTTCTTATTCCATTTTGCCAGTCTATTTCTCTTGATTGGTGAGTTGAGGCCATTGACATTGATGGTTATAACCTATATGTACTGACTTATTATTGACATGTTGTTGGCCTTTTGTTGACTCTTTTTTACTTTTCCATCTTCTCTTTTTAATTTCTTGACTTCCCTATTTGTTTTGGTCTGTTGGGCCTCATGGTGTTGTTGCCTTCATTGTCTTTTTCTAGGATCTTGTTTAGAATTGCTTGTAGTGCTGGTTTGGTATTCATGTAGTTTCTCAGGTGTTCTTTGTCGTGGAAGTGTCTTATTTCCCCCTCCATTTTGAAAGAGAGTTTTGCTGGATACATCAGTCTAGGTTGGAGGTTGTTCTCTTTTAGTACTTGAAATATCTCATTCCAGGCTCTCCTTGCCCCAAGGGTTTGTGTTGAAAAGTCTGCTGTGATTCTGATGGGCTTTCCTTTGTATGTGATTTGTTTCTTTTCTCTTACTGCTTGTAGTATTTTGTTCTTCTGTTGGGTTTCTGGGATCTTGATTATTATATGTCTAGGTGTAGATTTTTTTTGATTGTAGCTAGTTGGGGTCCTATATGCCTCAGTTATTTGAATGTCAAATTCTTCTCCTCTGTTTGGGAAGTTTTCTGTCATTAATTCTGCAAACAGCTTTTTTAAGTCATTTGTATTTTCTCCTGCTACTTCATGTATTCCTGTCAGTCTTATGTTATTCTTCTTTGCATCATCTAGGAGTTATTGGATCGATTTCTCATGATCTCTTACTGTTTTTAAGAGACCTCTCTTTTCATGGTCACTGACTGCAATCTTATCCTCTATATCTGAGAGCCTATCTTCGCATTCTTTTATTCTGTTGCGTACACTTTCAATAGAGTGTTTTGTCTCCTGGATATCTGTTTGAATCTGTTGTATGGATTCCATTTCTTTCCTATGTTGGGTGTTTATTTTTTCCATTTCTTTCTTATGCTGGACCTTCATGGCTTCTATCATGGTCCTGAGCTCATCTATTTTTCTGTCAGTTTCTGCTCTAGAGTCTCAAATCACGACTTCCATTTTGCTCGCTATCTCTATGGTTATCTGGGAAATTATTTGTTTTGAATTTTTCTAGAGCCTGATTGATCTGTTTTGTTACTTCCTGTGCTTTGAGTTCAGGGTGTCCTGGTGGTTCACTATCGGCCTTTTCATCCTCATTTGCCCTACTGTTTGCCCCCCAAAATTTTTTAAATATTACATTTCACAACTGAGTAGCAACTCCAGCTAAAGTTCTCAACTGTAGTACACCAAGCTTTGTCATGACTAAAGAAAAGCTGAGCAAACAGGATTGCCATTAAAATTTTATTTATGACCAGAGTGACACAATTTGTTTCCATGCTTCAAAAGGGGAAGGAAGGAGAAAGGTCTCCAGCTCGTTTCTTCTCTCTCTGTACAGCCCAACCTCCCATTTCTTGTTCTTCACTTTCCTGGTGGCTGTGGGAATGACTGTGCTGGGAGGATGACAGGTGGGTGGCTTACTTCTGAGGGAGGCGTCCCCTGAGGCCCTGCCGTGTGCCGACCACGTGAGCCTCCTCCTGGGCTCCTGAGGGGCCTCCCCACGCAAGTGCAGCTCCCAGCACAGCTGCCTGCCTGAGCTGAGCCTTGAAGATGGCTCAAGCACGGCAGGCTCTTTACAAGGCTTGCGTACCTTACTCTACCCACATCCTCTTGGCTTGAGGCATAGGGAGAGAAGTTGAGAGAGAAGAACAAAAAGGTGGGACCTTGCCCCAGAAAGTAAAGACTCCGAAAGGCTGGAAGCCACAATCTAAATTTAGAACCTTGTCTGTGCCCACTTGCACCTCCCCAGGCTCAGCCCCACAGCAGGAGTGCACAGCACTGACAGCTGCTAAAGGCCCTGGCTCTGCAGACGAAGGCTGCTTAGCGATGCCAGGCCTGCTGTCCCTTGGAGCAGAGATATGAGATGATGTGACTCCAGAGCCCTACTGATTGTGTCATTCTGCTAAAAACCATTTTCAGCGGATTCAGTGCCTCTTTACTATTATCAATGTAACAAACATGTTTAAGATGCTTTCTATAGTAACAGATCTTTCCACGTAGAAACTCATCAAATAGAGGTGTCTCTGTGCAGTTCTTCCCTTCTCTTTGGCAACAGCTGTTGCTTGGACAATCTTCATTGTCCTCTGTATCAGCAAAAACACCACCCTGATGCAGAGAACAGGTCAAATGGGAACCGGATGTCAGGTACATCCCTTCCCACAAGTTGTTCCCTGAGGTGGCCATTCATCAGTCCTTACAGTGCACCTGAAGTGTATCCATGTCACCTCCCAGCAGCTAAGCACACAGCTCTACACCCAGCCTTGCAGGCCACACATCCATGTGGCTCTGGGGGCACGTGACAGCTTGGGACTGAGATCCAGCTGCAGGCCTCAGCACGCTCCTCACTGCTTAGGCATGGCACTGGTTACAGAAGGCTGGTTCTTCAAGCTGCAGGCTTCAACTTGTCTTAAAGATCTCAAGACCCTCCAGCAGCATCTGTTAAAAGAAATACCGAAGCTAAAGTCCAGCTAAACAAGTATTATACTCATAAGTGGATTGCCATCTCCAAAACCAGTTCACAATGGATCTTACGAGCTAAAGATTCTGCAAACCCTCATGGAAATAGTAGCCATGGTGCAGAAGTGGGCCTGTATGTTATAAATACCATCAGGATTAGAAAATAATGACACAGGTGTGTAAAATCTGTGGCAGTCTTAACATGGATGCTGTTTTCTTGGTGGCCGGAGGGTAAGGAAGAATGAAGGCTTGTGCAGCACACCCATTGAGCTGCGGCACTCTGCAGGTTGAGGTGTGGCTTGCCCAAATGGCAAAGCAGGTCATGGCTTCCTGCAGAACAGAGGCCCAAGGCTTCCCCTAGGCACAACCGCCTGTGAGTGTGGGTACGGCATTTTCAAAGGGCACCCCTGGCCACTGCTCTTTGGCAACATTTGCCAGGCAAGAGGCCCCGCCACCTGAAGCCAGGCTGCTCAGGAGCAGGCCACAGTGGATAACTGCACACCATTTGCCTTAGTAGCCAATGGGGAGCCCCGGCAATGAGGGCAACAGGAAAGAGACTGCCCTGAGGACACACAGAACATGAATTTCTCTCTTGAGTTACCGATGTCCTTACCAGCCGAATGTATAATACAACATCTACTTAAAGATTTCCAAGAATTTTATCCAAAACACTATCAGACAATGAATCCACCCTGCAGAGACACGCAAGGTCTACACACCGATGTCCTTACCAGCCGAATGTATAATCCAACATCTACTTAAAGATTTCCAAGAATTTTATCCAAAACACTATCAGACAATGAATCCACCCTGCAGAGACACGCAAGGTCTACACAGTGTCCTCAGGCCCTCACTTCATTCATAACTGCACAGCAGGACACTAAGGCCTCGGATGCCTGCCACCAACCCTAACCAGCAACAACTCATGCTACAGGGGACTATTTTTACAGGTGACCTCGTTTCTTTTATTTCACTGTTATTTGCACTCCCTTTGGCTCTGTTAACAGATTACCTCAAACATGTGTGCTCCTTCTGGCGTGGAAGGGAAATGGATTGGGCACGGTATTTAGCACCTGCCTCTTGAGTGCAAGGTCCTGAGTTCGATTTCCAGTACCGAAAGAAAAAAAAAAAAAAAAAAAAAGGGGAAA